CCTCCCGCACCTGCGGGTACGTGTACAGCGTAGACTTCATGTGCACGGTGATGCCGGGTGGCGCCTGGAAGGTGACGGCCATGTGGTCACCAACCGCAAGCTCGGCATCCTGTCCAGCCGTGGCGTCATCAGACGAAGCTGGCTTGAAGAAGTACGGGTTCATGTACTCTGCCACGTCCGAGCGCCCATAGGCGGAGGGGTCAATCCGTTCCAGACCGCAGCTGCTCTTCTCGATGATCACGCGGCCAGCGCGGGCGTCGACGGCCTTGGTGGCAACAATGACGTCGTTGAGGTGGTGCCCGCCGCACACGCCAATCATGCCAATGTAGTCGGGCTCCAGTGCGGTGATGACCTGGCCCACGTGGATGCCGCACTCGATGGGGCCTTGCAGCTTGGCCACGAACCGCGTCACCGTCAGGTGATACGCCTTCCCGCCTTTGGTCATGACAAAGTCAAAGCGGTAGAACGCGTTGGCCGCCTCCTTGTACCCGGCGCCAAAGCAGTAGCCAAGGGACATGGGGTGGCGGCGAATCGACGCAATACTGTCAAAGGCGCGGTTCATGGCCTCAAACTCGTACGGTTTGGCGCACACAATCACGAATCTAGAGGAAAGTCGGGAGAGGGGGAATGGTCGGCATGCGTTTGTGAGGGTGAGCAAATGATGGGTGAAAGAATGCGGAGCAGCCACCAGAAAGAGGAGGCGGGGGCAGCACAAGGCGAGTGCTTGAGTGGGAAACGCGGGGTGATGAGCCATGCACACACAAGCACCTCACAAGCACCTCACAAGCACCTCACAAGCACCTCACCGCGTGTGCGCCTGTTCGGGAAGGCCATTTGGGCAGAGGCTGTCCAGGAGGGCGCCAACGGTCTTTTTGCGGTCTGTCTTGGCGTTAGCGGCGCGCCAAAGGTGGATGAGGTGGGCCATGACATGGGCGCCCCCGAGCGTGTCCGTGACAACGTTGAGGAACGGCTCCATGCCGTCTTGGTCGTTGATGAAGGTATGCTTGTTGAATGGCGGCTTGTGCTGCTTCAAGACGCCAAGAAGCGTGTCGGCCGTCGTCACAGGGGCATCCAAATGCTGTCCCAGGTAGGCGGCCACCTTCTTCACGTTGTCTTCGCTCAGGTTCTTCACCTCATTTTCGATAAACTCCATCAGCAACTCTGGCGGCGCCGTCATGAGTGGATGTTGCTCGGGATCGTGCGAGGCCCTGAGCAAAGAGCGGAAGAAGGGCGGGGATTGAGGGAATGGATCGTGTGTATGCATGTGTGTGTGTGTGTGTGTGTGTGTGTGTGTGTGTGTGTGTGTGTGTGTGTGTGTGTGTGTGTGTGTGTGTGTGTGTGTGTGTGTGTGTGTGTGTGTGTGTGTGTGTGTGTGTGGGTCTGAGGGTTGGGGGTTGCGGGAGCAGCAAGTGCCAGGATAAGAACAGCGATTACAGACCAGAACAGGAAAACGTCATGACAGCTCAACATCCCCAACAACAACAGCCGCTCCGCGAGACACTCATGTAGCTTACTGCTCTTCCATGTCACTTGCGGTCGAGTCATCCGAAGGCTCTCTGGAGACTTTGGCGGCTTTGCTGGTGTCGGCGGGCTCTCTTGACAAAGGCTGAAGGCCAGAGGCGGCCTGCCATTCTTTCAGAAGGATAAAGAGCTTGTGGGTTTCGCCTAATTGGGCCTTGACAATGTCCTTGAGCGGCTGCATGTCGCTCTTATTGCTCACATATGGCAAGGAATGCTTTGGTGGGCAGTTGGATTGGAACTTGTGGAGGAGGTCCTTGCCCTCGTTCACATGCGAGAAGCTGCACGCCGCAGCGACGCGCATGACTTCCTGTGGTGTCAAGTACCACACCTCCGTTTGGATGTCAGCGAGCACGCTGTTCTTGTTGCGCTTGGGGTCGCTCATTGTTGCAGGGTGGGGCAGTGTGGTGTGGAGATGGAAGCTGGAAAGCGGGCAAAACAAGGTGGTGGGAGATGCAAATGCGTGGACACCAAAATGAGGCTTTGCGCTTGGCGGCTTTGTGCTTGGCCAGGCTCAGCTTTTTTTTTTCTGGCTTGGCATGTTGTTGCTTGCTTGAAGAATGTTTGCTGCGAAACTTTGCAATGTTCTTGAAATTTGGAAAGTCTTCTTTTGGATTTGGCAAGGGAGGCGCCCGATGTCAAAAATTAAAAAAAGGGAGAGCGCTGCGACGAAACCCAGCATGCAGAAGCAACACACCAAACACGAGCAACACTCCATTGTGACGCAACCCAAATGCTGAGCCTTGTGCCATCCACAAGCACAAGAGCACAGACCAACAACAACAGGCCAAAGGCCAACCAGGCATCAAGCAAGCCACATTTACATGTAACTCGTCGCTCCTCGCCAAACTCATTTCTCAGACAACAAGCCGACACCAACTATGGACAACGACAACGGCTCTTCTTCAGCGCCCACAACACCGCCGCAATGGCTTGATACCCTCGTCCACGACCTCGAGCATGACACGGCGCTCAGCGCGAGGTGTGCCTCCAGGCCACCAGGCCCCTGCCTGCTTGCCTGTTTGCGAGTGTCGTGCATTTGTGCATTTGCATGAAGCCTTCACGGCTCCACGTTCCTTCGCATCACTGAGTCACTGCCCCACTCCCATCAAGCCGTCATCAGTTCCTGCAGTTCGTATTGATTGTAACCCTAAGCTAAGACTCTAAGACTGTTGCTTCTTCTTTGGGTGCTGCTAATCTTGTGCTTCCCCCGTCCCTGCCCTCCTTCCCGTCCCTTTTCATGCCCCTCCTTGCTCCTCCCACACCTCGAATACAGCGTGGTGTTCGAAGACTTCCCCCCTTCCATGCAACGACGCTTCGTGGAAGCCCTGGCCAAGAACACTTCTGTCCAGTCCATCGAGTCAGTCTGACATCCTTTTTGCAACAGAGCTCACGATGTGCTTTGTGATTCCTCATGTGGTTTAGTTGTGAACAATTCGAAAGATGGCCCGTTCTGTCCTGTTGTCGCTGCCTCCCCTCACCCTGTAGGTTCACTCACCTACCTTATTGCTTGTGCTGTGGTTGCGCAGGATTATTGCTTCACCCCTCTCGGTGATCAACTTGCAGCTATTGGCTGAGACAACCCCTTCCCTCCCACACGTTCATTCCCTCGAGTACGTTAAGTCAAAGAACCCGTGCTCGGTTCAGCCACAACTTGTGCTTGTGTGTGTGTGTGTGTGTGTGTGTGTGTGTGTGTGTGTGTGTGTGTGTGTGTGTGTGTGTGGCGTGTGGCGTGTGGCGGGTGCGTGGGCGCTTGCGTGTGAACGCGAAGCCCTCGTCTCTGCTACATTTGTCCAGCAAATGCTCCACACCAAGTTATGTCTCTCCGACATACCGCACCCGCACTCACATCATTTCATCTTGAAACAACCCCATCTTACAGCCTTGTTGACAACAATTTCGACACCGACTTTGACAAGCCTCTTGCTTCCCTGCTTGCCAAGCTGCCCAACCTGGAGAGCCTCAGGTCAGGCTCACATGTGCGCTGGCCCCTGCACCTACGGGCAGGTTGCACACCACGTGTTCCTTTTTGCTCATCTGAATCACACACACACATACACACACACACTCTCTCACTCACACACACTCACACACACTCACACACACATGCACTCATGCGTACCTGCACACATACATGCACACGTTTCAGATTGAATGGATGCAATCTCCAATCACAGGCGGCCATCGTGCTGGCAGAGCCACTGGCCAACTTGAAGGAGCTGCGTCGCATTCAGTGCGTTTGTAATTGTGAACGTTTCGAAGTGAATGCACTGCTTAAGGGTCTGGTGTCTGTTGTGCTTCCAGCTGCACTGCCGCTCATGGACTTTCCCAATCAACACAGGCTGGCTTCAGACAACTTGGACGACGACAGCATTCGAGTGTTGGCAAAGTCACTCGCAAACCTGCCGAACCTTCACCAGATCAAGTGCGAGCGTACTCTTGGTTCATATCGCCGCATGCATGTGTGCACACACATGTGCACATGCACACAACATACGCCCACCATATGCACGCAATCTTCACGCACACACACACACATGCTTGGACACACGCACATATTTCCCTCACATTCTCACGGCATCAACGCACTCACGCACGTCGGCCTTCAGTCTGGATGGCAACCGCATCACGGCAGTGGGAGCGCAAGCCGTGATCGAAACTGCGTGCAAGCTCGAGCACTTTGACGCCCTTCGGTATTTTGCCCATGCCCCCTTTGCTCTGTAATGCTGCTGTCGCTTCCCCCTCCTTTGAGGTTCTCTCTCTTCTCTCTCTCCCTCGATGCTCACAAACTGTGTCATTGCGTGTGCACACAAACACGCAGCTTGAATGACAACCTCATCACCAGCGTTGGATTCCAGGAAGCTGCGGCCATGCTCAAGAGCTTGAAGCACCTGCGATACCTCGAGTATGAAGCATTCCAGCCTATACACCAATAAGCAGACACAAGCACACATGTTTCACACACACACACACACACACACACACACAGGAACACACGCACACACACACGCACACACACACACAGGAACACACACAGGAACACACACACACACACACAGAGAACACACACACACACACACACACAGGAACACACACACACACACACAGAGGAACACACACACACATATATTCACATATTCACGCACATATTTACGCACATGCGCAGTTGTTACACAAGCACACATGCAAGTGTGTCTGTGGAATGTTGCCATATCTCACCCGATGTGCACCACCTCAACATCTCCTGACTCGCATACACGTGTAGTTTCCGGAACAATGGCCTCAGCTGTGATGGGGTGAAGATGCTGACCCAGTCCTTTCCGCAGCTGACAGAATTGCAGAAGCTCTTGTAAGTCATTTTGAACTGTAAACCGTGATCTGTGTCGTCAATGGAGCGATGCTTCATCTGCACCACTTGAAATACTCCTCATTTCAACACTGTGATGTTTCATTCTTGATTAGCTTGGACGGAAATCGAATTGGTACCGAAGGCGTGCGTGTGCTGGCTCCAGTCGTGGGCAGCATGGACTCTCTGCAGGAACTCGAGTACGTCTCCATTCCACTGCAAAGAAGCTGCAATCAACTCACGTGATGCTTCATGTGTCACTGCCATCCCCATTCATGTTACTACCCTTGCAACGCTTCCACCTTGCCTTGCGACTTCGCCTCTTTGGCTTACCATCAATTATGCACCAAACCCATGACCTGCACACCCTAGTTTGACAAACAACGGCATCACACATCTTGGCCCTGAGTTTCTGGCAACAACGAACATTTACCAGATTGGCTTTGAAGGCAACCCCTTGGTCTGTCCGCCGGCGCACATCGTCGTCCACAGCCGCGCCATGACGTATGCGTACCTGCGTGCCGTTTCACAGGGGTCTGAGTTGCTGACGCGATCGCGGCTGGTGTTCATTGGTGATGGCGGTGTTGGCAAAACCACCCTCAAGACGGCTCTGCTCATGCTCCACAGTGCAGACCGCGCACACGTGCTCAATGTGGTCAGGCAAGCCATCAAGAAGGCGTTCAGCAAGTACACAGAGGCCGACTTCCGCGAATGGGTGGACCATGACCTCAACCCCAGCGACCAACCTGGTTTCTTTGACCAGTGCTGCCAAAAAGCCAAGGGCATCACGGGGAAACTGTGGCTTAAAAGCCCGGACGACAAGCTGCGAGCTTGGTTTGGCGGAGACGCTGGTACGGCTCAAGCAGAGCAAATTGTGGATCGCATGCTACAGGCACGCCAATTCATTCTCGCAAGTGGTGCAACTGCACCACAGTCGCCACCAGGTCAAGGCGATGCACCACCTTTCGAGCCCTTGCTCTACATGCCGCACGTGTGGACGGAAGGGGTCGAAGTTGACCACTGGGATGCCCACGACTTTGAAATCTGGGACTTTGCCGGGGAGCTGGAGTTCTTCCCCACCCATGAGCTCTTCCTCGCCTCACACATGGCCGTGTATTTGCTTGTGTTTGACGCGTCCCAGGGCTTTGATCACGCCCTTGCGCGCGTGTGTCTGTGGCTGGAGCTGCTACGCACATGCACGCCTCCTGCGCTGGGCCACAACCACGACCACGTGCAAGTCCGCCTTGTTGCCACAAAGGACGTGTCGTTTTCACTCGATTACTTCCGATCTGAGGTGAAGCATCACGCAAGCAGCTGCTTTGACCTTGGGCCAAAGTGCTACAGAATCGAATACACCGAAGCTGATGGTGGGGACCTGATGGACCTTGACACGGAGCTTGCCAGGCTTCGCACCGAAGGCGTGCCGTACTTTCACGTGCCAACAGGGCTGACTGATATCAAGAAACACATCCAAGAAATGGCGAGAGCACATGCGACGAGGGATTGGCCAGTGGTCAATGTGAGCACCATCGACTGGAAGCACAACCACCCCGAACTTGCCGTTCTGTTTCTGCTTCACACGGCCGTCATTTACCCTGTGCCGGGAAACCCGTCCATGATCGTGCTGGACCCGATGGTGTGGCTTACCAAGCTACTGTCAGCGCTGCTGCACCCCTTGCATGGGCTCAGCTTGTCCTTTGATGCGGCTTCGCCCCAAGCGTCGTCATCCCAGATACATCTGCCTGCTGTGGACACCTCCCATGTGCTTAGCTCACTGGCCCAACGTGACTTGCACATTCCGCAACAGCAAAGACACCTGCTGCTGCCGTTCCTGTCCTCATTCAACATTTGCTTCTCAGTGAACACAGCACAAACGCTCTACACGTTTCCGTCCCTGCTCCCACGCCGCGACGTTCACCCAGGCATCATCACTGCCATCCACAATACTGTGCCTGGGCTCGCAGCCTCGCAGCGTGTCGTGTTGGGCCGCCGGCTGCAATGCTTTGAGGAGCACGAGTGGCTGCCCCCAACAGCCTGGCCGTTGGTTGTGAAAGAGCTCTTTGCTGCTGTGAACGAAGCAGGTGCAACGCCGCTTCACTTGAGCGCAGGCATATTCATCGCACAAGTGGATTTGGCAAACTACATCGTTGCAAGCCTGACCCTTCTCAAGCATCGGCGCTGCGTTGACATTGTTGCTGTCGGCAGTCAGTCTGAGGTCCTTTTGCACACGGCCATGCTGTGTGTTGTGAAAGTGTTGCGCGACCACTTTCCTTCCCTCCACCTACAAAAGCGCTGCTTGATGGTGGCATCGCAACATGACCACGATCAGGAGCAACATGCCGTGCTCCAATTGAGCATCGTATCCCACTCCGTGTACACGGAGAAGAAGGCGGTGGACCCTCAGGATGTCCTGCAGCAGCTCCCAACATCAGATAGTGGTCCACTGTCCACCACATACGCCCAGCGCCTTCGGCAGTTGCTGACAGTCGAAGATCACAGTGACAGTCCACCAATTCGGCGCTGGGATGCTCACTGGGTGTGTTTGTTGACTGATCCCAAGCTGGTGTCCGAGACAAACATCCCAAAGGCGAAACAGAATGCCGAGACCAGGAGCATGTTTGCTGATGTCTGTGAACAACTTCTTCACCTCAGCGAGCAGGAACGAGTGGTGCTGAGTACCCACTGCGGTCTGCATAACAAACCCTTGGATGGGTCGAGCATGGTACTTGCGCTCAAATCAACCTGTCCAATCGGGTCAACGGTGCCCTATCTCAGCGAGGACAGCGATCTGCAGCCCCTGCACGACGCGATCGAGCGCAGGATTGGGCATGAGCACATAACCTGTGTGATCATTCGCGAACGCCAAGCAAAGCTGAAGACACTTCCATGAGCGTGAAGACGTGTGTGTGTTTGCTTGTGTGTGTGTGTGTGTGTGTGTGTGTGTGTGTGTGTGTGTGTGTGTGTGTGTGTGTGTGTGTGTGTGTGTGTAATGTGTTGTCGTGTTAATTTGCGTCAGCAAATGTTGTGCCGGAGCTGACAGCTGCTCGTCCCAGCGTCTCCTTTGCAATGGCCCTCTCGATCTTTGCCAACGTGGTTGATACCAGCGCTGTTCCTCCAATCCATGCACACTTTTCTTGTTCCCGTGCACCCCGTGTTAAACCGAGGTTGCCGTTTGTTCTGTCTGCTGTTTGCTGTGAAATCACATGTTTCGCGCACGCACTCAGCCTTTGTCTTCTTGCCTGTCGCTTCACGAAACGACGTGTGTAATTGATGTGAAGCTGAAACATAACAGCAGTGACAAAACCCAAACAGGGAAAGGGGCAACCGCATTCACCATCAGTAACGCCAAACTGCATTCACACCATCAGCAACGCAAACACGATTGAATGCAACACCGACCCAAACCAGCATGCAAAACACAAGTACACACACACACACGCAGACACACACACACACGCAAGCACACGCACACGCACACGTACACACAGACACACAGGCACACACACACACCCTCTGTTGACTACTCCGCCGCCATCTTGGCGCCGAGCTGGGCGAGCAGCTGGCGCGCGGCGCTGGGAAGACCGACGCAGCCCACGACGGAGGTGCTGCTGTTGGTGACAAAGGTAGGGCGGGTCACCCACTGCAGCTTGCTGCCGCCCTTGTCGAGCCCATACACATCCAGGCCAGCCAGACCCGTCTTCTGGCACAGCAGCTGCTTCCAATCCTGCGAGATGATTGGTGTGCCCAGGCCACTGAAGAAGCTCTCCACCACAGCCTCAACCTGGATGTTTGTGGGCGTGTGTGTGTGTGTGTGTGTGTGGGGGGGGGAGTTGATGTGGTGAGATTAGCCAAGGGAGAAAAGAAGCAAGGTCACACAGTTCTACAGACGAACAGACGGACGAAAAAACAGACAAGAGAGACAGAGAGACAAACACACACACAGACACACACACATACAACAGACACACGCACATACAGACACACGCACACATACAGACACACACACACACACAATCGCACACACGCACAGACAGGCACACACACATACAGACGCACACACACAATCACACATACAGACGCACACACAATCACTCACACACACAGTCACAACGCCCGCCGACGCAAGCACCCTTCGCTCTTCCTCACACAACACGTTACTGATGCCCACCTCAAAGTTGTCAATGTTGCGGAGGGTGAGGGTGGTTCCATTGCGCTCACACAGGACGGCATGCGTGCGGCTGCACACGTACGCCATGCCGAGCTGGTCGGCGGAGGCAAAGCTCGTGTTGGCGGCGCCCACTTCTGCAGGCGATGCACCAGAGACGTCATATGTCTTGACGGTCTTGCTGCCCTTCTCAACCACCACCAGCTGGTCCTTGCAGTTGAACCCAAACTCAATGTCCTTCGATGGGAGGTTGCAGGTTGGCTTGCGCGTGGAAACATCAAACACAATCAGCTTGCCATCGCTGGCCGTGGTTGCCGCGTACTTGCCGCTCGGCGACAGCATGGCATTCCACACGTGGTCGTGCGTGTGCCCATCAAGGGTGCCCAGCAGCTTGCCCTGCTCCAGGTCGTACAGCAGCGACGTGCGCCACAGCGTCGTCGCCACCATGAACCGGAAGTCTGCGCTGATGGCCAGCGTGTTGCCGTGGAAGTGCGTTGGAGACCAGCGGCGCAGCACCTCAAGCTCCTGCACAACAGCGCCGCCCTTCTCCACGTCCACCCGTGGGATGGGCAGGCACCCGGACGAGTTGAGCCCGATGTACACGCTCTTGTCGTCCTTGGCCGTGGCCAGCCCGCGCGTCGTGCCGTCCATGTAGCTGCCATTCAGGCTGGGCATCAGCTCGCCCGTGTGGCGGTTCCACACCCCGAGCCGGCGCGGGTGCACGTTGTGTGTGCCCACAACGTAGTCTGAGACGGTCTGCACGCACCAGCAGCCCTCGGACGCCGTCACCTCTGTGGCGTTGGGCGTGTACGTGATGGCCGGCAGCGCATTGGCCTGCGCCAGGCTCCACAGCTTCATCGACTTGCCAGAGGTGCTGAGCAGGTTGCTGTTGCTGAGAAACTGCACGTGGCTGATGCCGCCCACGTGCCCACGCAGCACCACCTGCAGCGTGCCCTCGCCCGTCTCGTACACGCACACCGTCTTTGCGCCGCCGGCCGTCGCCACGAGCGACTCGTCCGCAGAAAAGGCAACCGCGCCAAGCTTGCCGACATCGTGTCCGACAAGTCTAGCCACGCGCACGCCGTCTGAGAGGCGCCACAGCGACGCGCAGCTGTGCGGGCTCCAGCTCCACCCGTGCGTGTCGTCCACCGTCACGCAGTACTTCTCCTTTGGCGACACAACCAAAAGGTTTGGATGGTGCTCGCCACTATTCACGTTCCTGATGGTGGAAATCACTTCCCCTGGACGGTTGGAGGACAAGAGAGTGTGTGTGTGTGACAGGGGGGGGGAAGGGAGACCCGTGTGTGGATGTGAGACAAGTGATATAGTTTTGGAATGAGAAACACTGACAGGCTCCGACAGCCATGCTTACGGGCTACGTCTACGTCCATATCACAAAACACACACACACACACACACAGCGCAAAAAAGCAAAAGGTCCCCTTCACCAAACACACAAACACATACACATAACACATCAATGCACCTTTCTCGAGGTCCCATGTGCACATGGTCTTGTCGAGGGACAAGGAGAGGAACTGGGTGCTGTTCTTGAGGAAGGAGACGCAGGCAACCCACAGGTTGTGGTGGCGCAGCAGGCGCGGGGCAGTGCCCTCTGGTGCAGCGAGATCGTACAGATACATGGGCCCAGGCAGCTCCACGTCACCCTCACCCTCGTATCCAAAGATACTCAGCGGATGCACAAAGACAACAGCGTAGCGGCCGTTTGGTGACAGCTCGCACTTCACAAAGTCAATCTCGCCTACGGTGGGGATTGAGGAATTTGGGGGAGGAGGAGGAGGAGGAGGAGGAGGATTTGGGGAGGAGGAGGAGGAGGAGGAGGAGGAGGAGGAGGAGGAGGAGGAGGAGGAGGAGGAGGATTTGGGGAGGAGGAGGAGGAGGAGGAGGAGGAGGAGGAGGAGGAGGAGGAGGAGGAGGAAGTGAGAGGATGCTATGATCAGGACGACCCTCGCGAATGGCGTGCACGCACGTAAGGCCAGATTGGGGAAGCGAATGACACACAAACAAACACACACACACACACACAGACCCCCCCCCCCCACACACACACACAGACGCACGCACGCACACACAGACCCACAGACGCACGCACGCACACACAGACCCACAGACGCACACACACACACACACACACACACACACACACACACACACACACACACACACACACACAGAGATACAGACATACAAAATCGGCCACCCAGTCAAGTTGCCCCTCCCCACATCACTCACCCTTGTGGTGCATGTTGACGCCCAGGGCCTCCAAATCCCTGTACACGTCTGCCTTGACAATGCGCTTGGCACTGCCGCTGCCATCGCGGGCATAGATGGCCAGCGTGTTGTCGCGCAGCACCATCGCGGCCTTCTCGCCGCCGTCGCAGATGCGGATCGTGTTGCGGAACGGCCATCCGGTGCCAACAACGATTGGCGAATCGGTCTTGATGGTCCACGGGAGGATGGCGAGCGCGTCCTCCATGCCGGGCACGGGACCAATATCCACTTGCTGGTCCGAGGGCATGGTGCCCAGGGCGGCGCGGCAGCTGCTGAAGGTGATGGGCAGGAACCGATTGTCGCCGTGGGGAACATCTTGGGGCAGCGGAGCGGTGCTGAGCAGGCGAATGGCCACCTCGTCGCTGCCGTCGTCGCCTTTGGTCGTCTCCGTGCGCCAGTAGTTTATGTGCTTTCCACGCGTCACCGTCATGGGGCGCGCACTGGGGCCGTCGCCAGTCACATGCAGCAGGTCCACCCTGTCCTTCTGCTCGTCCACATCTGGCAGCTGGCCAAACTCGACATCTCGCATGTTGCACATGTCCAGGCACGCGCCGGTCATGATGGCCTCGGCGAAGAACACGCCACGCAGGTCTGCCCCCGTCAGGTTGGTGCGGTGCAGCAGGGCTGCACGCATGTCGGCGCCGCACAGCCGCGCGCCAGAGAGGTCGAGGCCAGAGAAGGGCACACGCGCGCAGTTGAGGATGGTGGCGGCGTTGCCCGCGGCAATGGTCGCGTGCGGCTGCGTCTTGGAGAGCTCAATCACGTGCATCAGGCGCGTCTGCGCCTCCTTATCTGCACGGACGATTTGTCCGGCAAACTCGACCAGGCCCGGCTCGTTGCGCACGAGGCGCGTGCCAAGGATGGGCACCACCTCGCCCTCCGCGAGCGACACGACGTCAGACATGAGCGCGCACGCCGCGAGATACTCAAGCACAGACTGGAGGGGACGAGGAATGAGGTGGGAGAGTGGAAGGAGTGAGAAGAGGGCAAGAGGAGGTGAGGAAGGAGGAATCAAAAGCGGGGGGGGGGGGGAGGGGAAGGCACTGAGGCGAGCAAGTGTCACTGGACGCACATGCATTGTGTGATGATGTATGCAAGTCAGAAATGAGGCTGAGCAACGCATTAACATCACAACCCCCTCCCAATCTCATTCGTACACACACCTTGTGAACGAAGGTCACGCGCGGACCGACGCCGACGACGCGGAGCGGGCTGCCGTCAACAGCAATCTGGCAACGGTGGACAAGGGCGGTGGTGCATGGAAAGGTCGGGCGTCAAGGTCTTGGGGAAAGGGAAGAGCAGGGAAGGTGTAGAAAGCAGGGGTACAAACGCAATTACACGTCCGCAAAATGGTCACACACAAACAGAGACAGAGACAACACAAACTTGTACACAATCACAACCGCAGACAGACAGACACAGGCACAGACACAGACACAGAGACACAAAGACACACACACACACACATTCACACACACAGACACAGACACAGACACAGACACACACAGACACAGACACAGACAGACAGACATTCACACACACACACACACACACGAGCCTCGACGAACCTTGAGGGCTGCGTCGGAGACGGCTTCTGCACGGATGAGTTTTGCGGTGATGCTGTGCCCGAGGAAGAGGGAGCGCGCAAGGTCTTGATCGAACGCCAGCAGCGCCACGTGCAGGTTCACCTGCAACAGTCATCCGCATCCCAACCCAAGCATGCAATATGAGCGTAGGGTAAATCAGGCGAATCAAGCCTTGGCGCACGATGCAAGCACACGATGCAAGCACACACGATGCAAGCACACACTGTGTCAGCACATACAACCCACCCCCAACACACACACACACCATCCCCCCTCCAAACACACCCCTGCACTTACGTCGATGGGGACGCGTCTGCGGGTGACGCAGCGCCACATCTCGCGGCCGTGCATGAGCGACACGAAGCTCTCGTACAGGTGCCGCTTGGAAATGTTGCGAGGAAGGCCCTTGCTTGGAACCATGCCGCTCTCCAGGATGGGCAGGCACAGGCACGCCATGTGCAGGAGGAATGGGGTGGACAAGAGGTCCCACAGGCCGCCAATGTTGGACAGCTGGTCGTGCAGCGTGTGTGCGTCCTGGCCCTGGGCGTCGGGTCCGCGTACAAAGCGCTCCAGAAACGCCTCAATCTGGGTTTGATCAAACGGAAGAATGTACCGCTCGTCCACCCGGCTCTGCGTCGCGTGCGTGAAGAGGGACTGGTACTCCGGCAGCGACTGCAGGAACTGCGAGCGCGCGCCAACGACCACGTGCGCCTGCCACTCGTCGAGTTTGTTGCTGCGGTACAGGTTGACAGGCTTGCCCAGCTCGTCAAAGCCATCCAGCAGCACAACAAACGACGCCTCGCGCTTGAGCTGCTCAATGCCGGCCTCGTCAAGGCCAATGGACATGAGCGTCTCCGACATCAGATCTGTCTCCGCGTTGTTCGTCTGCGCAAGGGGGACGTACAGCGGAACAGGGCACGAGGGGTCCTTGTCGCGGTCTGCCCACAGCCGGAATTCGAGGTATCTGATGAACGCGCTCTTGCCGCTGCCCGTGCCACCCTGCACCAGGAGATACAGGGGCTTGGTGTTTGCGTCCTCAGCAGCGACAGCCTGCAGCACGTTGTCCACGAGATCAAACTTCTCCTCCTCCTTCTTGGGCGCGGCCGTCTTGCTTGCCTTCACCCGCACAAACTGCTTCAGCTGCTGCTGCACGGGGCTCTCTGGCTTGAGCACGTCCGTTGCCTGGCGGATGCGGGCAATGTTCGCCTCCAGCGCGGCTGCTGCAGAGTCGCGGCTGCCAGACAGCTGCTCAAGGATCTCAGCGGGCGTGTTGGTGAAGAACTGCTTCAGGCTCTCCTGGAACCTGTGGTGACGGAGGGATTAGGGGTTTGGGAGTTTGCGGGATTTAGGGGTGGTGGTGGAGGGTGAGGGGCTATGTGAGTTACGTGGGGGCAGATGTTCATGCTAAGGTGGGGGGGGGGATGCGTGAGCAGGTGAGTGCTGCCATCGCACACACACACACACACACACACACACACACACACACACACACACACACACACACACACACACACACACACACACACACACACACACACATACACACAGAGCACAACAACGCACTCTTGCTCGCGCCTCTCGCGCTCTTTGATGTCCTGGAAGAACCACTCCCACACGGCCTTGGTCTGTTGGCAGACGGAATACGTGTACATGTGCGTGTGTGTGAGTGTGAGTGAGTGGGTGTGACGGGAAGGAAAGGCAACGAATGCAGTATGAAGAGACGGTGGATATTCGAGTGTGGGCAACGTGGAGACACGCATGCACACAAGCAAACATAGAGAGAAGGAAACGCCACGGCACAAGAACATGCTGACACACGTACGGAGGTGGACTGCTCGACGCCGTGAAGACTCGTGAGGAACTTGTCGCACGCCTGCACGGGATGTCAGCGGGATGAGGATGGTGAGTTTGAGTGGGGAAACGGGTGCAAAACACACGAAGCAATGAATGGCGTGGCAGAATTGCACGTCCTCCTCTGCACACAAGACACAAGCACACACACACACACACATGCACGCACCTTGTTCCACCTCTGCCTCTCCTCGTCGGGGACATCGCCGTCGACGAAGATGGGGATGATGGTGTTGAGGAGGGCGGGCAGGGCGGCGAGGTAGTACCTGTAGCTGCTGCAGTCCCGCACGGGCTGGAACGGGTAGTTGAGGAACGCGTCGGGGAAGGCTGATGCCGGCGTGACGTGCTCGCCGCGGTCAAACCAGAGCGGGAACACGAGCACGCCGCGCTCAGATGCGGCCTGCCGGATGAAGCAGTACTCCTTGCCGACGTTCGTCACATCGCCATCGTTCACCTTGTCAGCCTCAACCTTGTTCGTGGGTTCTGCAGTGGTGTGTGTGTGTTTGTGTTGGGGAGGGAGGTGAGAGGGCGCAATGAAAGTGGCGAATAAACACTGTTTCTCTTTGCCTCACAGACAACAGATACACGCACACAAAATACTCACACACAGACGCAACACACGCATACACACACACACACACACACACACACACACACACACACACACACACAACACGTGCACGAATGGCACGGCACGACGGCGTACCTGGCACACGCCTGTTGTAGTCTGGGGTGCCGATGAGGAAGACGGCGGTGGACTTGTCAATGCCCTTGCGCATGAACTCATCAATATCCATGCCTGGCTTGAGGTCCATGATGTCAAGGGAGACGTCGAGACCAATGCGCGCCATGTCGCGGCGCAGGCGGGACAGTCGGCCCTGCAGCTTCTGCTGGTCGCTTCGGTCCCGCGGCCACGAGTACGAGATGAAGCCCTGGCCGTGGACGAAGAGGAGTTGGCGTGGGGAGAGGGAGATGTGTGTGTGTATGTGTGTGTGTGTTGGTATGGAGGCAAGGGCGTTCGTGTTAGGAAAATGGGGGGTGTGTGTGTGCACAGAGCAGGGTATTGTGGTCAAGTACAGCCAGGAAAAAATCACACGAGCGTATGTACACACACACACACACACACACACACACACACACACACACACACACACACACACACACACACACACACACACAGGCAGACAGCGTGTCGGTGCACCTTGTGTCTGTTTGTTGTGAGCTTGGTGACGCGGTTCATGGCGCGGAACAGCTCGGCGAGCTCGCTGGCAAGCTGCTTCCGCACAAGGTCCTCGCGCGCCTTCAAGTACGTCTGCCCGTCCAAGCAGCAAGCGAGTGGTGAGGGGTGCGAGGCATGCAACAACACGCACAGACAGACAGACAGGCACAGACAGACAAATATAGACACAGACAGACAGGCAGACATACAGACACACAGACAGACACACAAAGACAAAAACAAACAAACAGACACACAAAGACAAAGACAAACAAACAAACACACAGCATGTACATACACACATTATATGTCCACCACCCTTTGCCTCACCTTGTGGAGAGAGTCGAGGCAGCGCTCCTTGATGGCATCGAGATCAACGACAGACTCCTCCTCCTTCGACTCCTCAGCCTTGCCCTTGCCCTGCGTGGCCGTGGCCGTGGGCGCCTTGGCCTCTGCAAAGGTCACGCTCGGCAGCGCCGGTGGCGGCGTGTCTGCGCGCCCGCTGAGCAGCAGCATCTGGAACGCCGTTGGCATGGGCTCGCCGGCCATGTCGCAGGGGAGGAAGTACAGCACGATGGGGCCCTCCACGTCCGCACCGAGCAGGCGCGGGTGGAGAACCGGCGGCAGCTTCCACTGGTCGACAGAGGCGGCTGCGCCTGCCACGCCCCCTGTTGCTGGCGCTTCGCCCTTTGTCTCCGGTGTGAGGGCCGCCTGCACCTCGGCCTTGTCGACGAGGAAGACAACCTTTGGCGCGCTTCCGTGGAGAGAGCCCCAGTGGTCCAGCTCGTTCTGCACGTAGATATTGGTGCAGTGGTCGGCGGCGCGCCAGTTCTTGAAGAAGAGCACGAGGCCGGGGTGGCCCTCTCGCAGGGCCTCCACCTCCGCTGCCGTGTAGCCGTGCTTGACCAGGGCCTGCTCGACAACGCGCGACGTCGGCACGGCGGCCTGCTCCAGGTCAATGACCACGGGGATCATGGCGTGGTTTGCGTCGTAGTACTGCCACTGCCGGGACACAAGCATGTCCTCTGCGGTGGACAGCAGGTCCGAGTCGCCGACGACGAGCAGAATGGCGCGGTCGCCAGTCATGAACGCGGTGTACTGCTCCGAGAGATGCGGCCCATCCTGGCCCTTGTGATCCTTGGTCAGCACATCGGTGCCAGCCTTGCCACCGCTGCCGCCCTCACCACCACCACCACCAGCAGCAGCAGCAGCAGCAGCGCTGCTGCGCATGCGCTTGACGGCGACCTGGCCAATGGCGTCCACCTGCTGCTGCAGGCCGTTGTCGAGGAAGCGGCGCTGGGAGCGTGTCAGGCTGCTCTTCAGCACAAACGCGCGCAGGTCGAGGCGCTGCCGCTCCTCCTCATATGAGGCCGTGATGGTCGGGATGTCGTCGGCAGGGATGGTTGTCTCTTCCAGCGTGGCCACCTTCGTCTCCACGGTGGCCACGTGCTTGGCGATGAGGTCCTGGGCGGTGGTGTCTGCCGCCAGCCCAAGCAGATTGGCGACGACCGCTGGCAGCAGCTTGCAGTACTCGACCGTGTCGGAGCACACGCTGGCCAGCACCTTGGTCAGGCTGCCTGGCAACGAGTCCATGAACCCGCCGGCGAGGACGACGGGGAGGGGATCGAGGGACAGCTCCTCTGCAGCGGCGGCATCGGCGTGCACGCCGCTGCCCTCGCGCGTGTACTCGGACTTGAAGCTCGGCGACGCGGCGAGGACGATGGCGTCGCACGACTTGAGGTGCTCGCGGATGAAGTCGGGGTAGGCCTTGTCGGCGTCACGCCAGGCAAGCATGGCAGAGGACACGTGCAGGCCAGCGAGGCGCAGCGTGTCGGTGAAGGAGATGACATCCTCCATGAACGGCTCCTCCTCAGGAGAGCCCGGCCAGGCGTGCGACACAAACACGGTGCGTTCCTTCAGGCCCTGCTGTTGGGCGAGAGCACGCAGCGCGCCGACAGCGTTGTCCAGCTCGATCCTGCGACGATGAGAAACAAGGAAGTGGGGTGGAGTGGAAAGTGTGAGGACGAAAGGTGGAGCTTGTGGTTTCAGATCGGGTGAGAGTGGACAGAGAACAGTGAGGGAGCAGGGGATCTGTGATTGGAATGTGGTGCACACGCAAACAAATACAATATGCGCATCAAACGACACGCACACACGCACACACACACACACAGCACATACACACACACAGCACACACACACACACACACACACACACACAGCACACACACACACACACGCGCGCGCGCGCGCACACACTCACACACACATACACATGCATACATACACACAGAGCACACACAGAGCACACAACATGCACCTGAGCTGTTGTTTCTTGAAGAGGGCCTTGACTTGGTCGGCGCCGAGCTCTTCGGTGCCGGCATCGGCACGATCGAGGACGTCGCTGCGCCACGTGTCGGTCAGCAGGCCTGAGACGCGCTGCAGGTCGGAGTCGTCGAGGGTGAAGTCGATCTGGGCCGCGCGCGGTGGCTCCTCAAAGGCAAAACCGGCCGTCTTGCTGCCGATCCAAGCCGGGGTGGCAGCAGATGCGCCTGCAGCCTTGGTGGCTTTGCCAGCCCTCCGGCTCTTCTGCTGCTTCTGCTGCTTCTGCTGCTTCTGCTGCTTCTGCTGCTGCTTCTGTTGCTGCTTCTCATCGCCAGCTCCACGCTTGCGGCGGCGCCGCAAGGACGAAGATCCACTTCCCATGGCTCAGACGTTTGCGGCGGTATGCGGGTGGAGATGTGAGAGATGTGAAGGTGAAATGAAGGCGAGAGGCGAGAGTGATAGGTTGGCTTGCCGTTCACTGATTAGGTGAGTGACATCGGAGGAGGAAAAAACAAAACAAAGGCCTCGTTGCCAAAGAAGAAGAAGCGAACGAAGACGAAGCAAGATCAAGCACAGACAGATTAGTGGGGGTTGGTTGGTGCAGCTTGGGTCTCAGCGTGCTTGGCATTCCCTTCCTCACAACTTTTGCGAGCAAGACAGAGGGAGACGAGCAGAGATGAGCAAAGAAGCGGCTGTGACGGCCTTCCTGGCGTGCGAGCGCTTCATCGTGGTGGGCGCGAGTGCAAATCGCAGCAAGTTTGGCAACAAGGTGCTGCGCGCCTTGATCAACAAGTACGGCACAGAGAACGTCCTTCCAGGTGTGATGTGTGACATGTTGTTGGTTGGTTGGTTGGTTGGTTGGTTGCTTCCTTGGTTGTTTCTTTGTGATGTGCGTGTGTGTGTGTGTGTGTGTGTGTGACACAAGGTGTCCAACTTCCGTGGGCAAGCACGTCCTGCGCTTACTTGTGTTTGTCGTCCTTTGGGTTGATGCGTTTCATGTGTTTGGCACACTGGCACTCGCATCACCCGCCTCACACCACCGCACATCACCGCACTCACACCACCGCCCTCACACCTCGCCCTGTTTTTCATCCTTTGCACCGACTCCAGTGAACCCAAAGGAAGAGCAAGTTGAAGGCGTGCGTGCCTTTGCCAGCGTCGGAGATGCGGTGGCCACGTGCAACCCTTCCACCACTGGCGCATGCATCATCACGCCACCCAAAGTGTCGGCAGAGGCCATCAAGGCGCTGGTGCGTGTAAAGGGCAGGGGAGGGGGAGGAGGGTGTGCGTATGGGCCTCGTGTGGTTGTACATCATTGCACCTGTGGTGCTCCCTGTGTGTGTGTGTGTGTGTTTGCATTGGTTGTGCGTTCGCGCGTTGATGATTTCCCTGACTGCACCCGCTGTACCTGCTGCACTAATGCACCCGCTGCACCCGCTGCACCTGCTGGACCTGCCGCACTGATGCACTGATGCACTGATGCACTGATGAACCCCTTCCCCCATCCACACGTCCGCACTCACAAACACACACACACACACACACACACACACACACACACACACACACACACACACAAATGCGCACACATCACGCACACAAACGCGCACGCACGCACACACGCACGCCCTCTAGGGTGCCGCTGGTGTGAAACACATCTGGCTCCAGCCTGGTGCAGAGGATGCGGCTGCCATTGCAGCCGGGGAGCAGTTTGAACTCGACGCGTTTCTCCACTCTGGGCCATGTGTGTTGGCCACCCTGGGCTTTTCAGACCATTTCTAACCCAGAGGGCGGGAGTGTGCGTGCGTGCATGTGCATGCGAGTGAGAGGGAGGGTGTATGTATGTGTTTGTGTTTTGTATGTGCGTGTGTGCGTGTGTTTGTGCGTTTGTGTGTCCCTCGGATTTCCATCCTTCCTTCTTCGTTTCTTCCCACTTCGTTTGCTCTCCTTCTTTTGCCTTTGATGTCCTTTGGCTCATGTTACCTTGCCCACAGTTGTAAGCTACCTACCAGTGTAATGAAGAACACAACCATCCTTCTTGCTTGCTGTCTGTCTTGATCACGGCACAACATAGCACGCAGCAGCAGCACACCCACACACACACACCCTGTCCCCCATCATCACACAACCGCCGAATCGTTGTGTAAGATTTCTTGTGCTTTTCCACAACCACAGCACCACCACCAAGATGACAAGCACCACCAAGCGGCAGCCACACGCGGAGCTGGTTGAGACGACGCGCACGTTCGTCCTGGACTGTGACGGCGTGATCTGGCGCGGAAACCAGCTTATTGAAGGTTATGAGAGCACGCAACGAATCTGCAATCCAGAACTCAACTCGCACACATACGCACACAAGTACGCTTGCTTTCATTCATCTACACAACAATCACGTCACATCACATTACCTCATTCTCACGTCTGCTCCCCCCCCCGCCCACGCACGCACGCACGCACGCGCAATCACAACACAGGCATTGCGGAGGTGCTTGATTACTTGCGAGCTGCAGGAAAACGGCTCGTGTTCTTGACAAACAACAGCACCAAGACAAGGCAGCAGCAAGTGGACAAGTTCCACCGCCTCGGGCTGACTTGGGTGCAGCGGGAGGATGTGCTGACTTCTGCGTACGCGGCAGCGCTCTTGCTGAAGCGCAAGCTCAAGCTGCCAACGGACAAGAAGGTCTATGTCGTGGGGCACGAGGGCATCGTTGACGAGATGACACAGCTCGGATACACGTGCGTTGGCGCAGATGAGCACGCCTGTCGCACACCCGACCTCAAGCAAGGCCTCAGCGTGGACCCGGACATTGGCGCCGTTGTGTGCGGGTTCGACCTCCACTTCAACTACTGGAAGATGGTGTATGCGACGCAGTGCGTCCTCACGCTGCCCGGCTGCGAGTTTGTTGCCACCAACTGCGATGCCCTCAGCCACGTCGTGTCGGATGCGGAGTGGCCTGGCGGCGGCACCATGGTTGCAGCGCTGCAGCATGCCCTTGGCAGAGCACCCATCGTGGCGGGGAAGCCCAGCGAGTTTCTGGTCGAGCTGCTGGTGGAGACGTGCGGTGAGGGCGCGGGCCCCGAGCACATGTGCATGGTCGGCGATCGCCTCGATACGGACATTGCATTTGGGCACCAGGGCGGCATGCGTACGCTGCTTGTGTATACAGGCGTGACTGCAAAAGGCCGCCTCGAAACCGAGCTGCAACGGCTCAACGTCAAACCCCCACACCACACAGCAGACTCCCTCGCCAACCTCCTGCTTGCATAGTGGTGGTGAGTGTAGTTGCGTTGGTGGTGGTGGCTTTAACGGCTCTGTTGGCCTTCATTCAAGTGCCCTTGCTAAATCTTGGGACCCAAAGCGCGTTTCCACAGCAGCCATGGGCGTGTTACACTACCTCAGTTGTGTTTTGACTTTGTTGGTTGTGATGTGAGGTGCATCACATCACTTCAACCCACGTCCACACGCTTCCACGCGCTTCCACAGCCTTGCAAGTCCACCCACCCACCACTTCTTTCGCTTTCTCCCTGTCGACACACACACACACACACACACACACACACACACACACACACACACACACACACACACACACACACACACACACACACACACACACAGATACAGATACGCACACGCACAGATACAGCACCCCATCCCCTCCCCCTCTCCAACACTCAAACTCTGTTCGGCCATCCCACCTCCCCCACTACTGGCTTGCGTACTGGTTTGCCCTGCTTCATTCATGCGCGTTTCTGACATTGACACGCTGCGTTTGCGCCAGTCCCTGCCCCTGTTTCCCTGTTCCCGTGTTCCTCCCTTAGCTTCTTCTCTCTCTTTCGGGCTGTTGCAGTCAGGCACCATGTTGCCATCGCGCAACCAAGTGAAGTAAACGACAACTCACCCAGACACCCCTCACCCGCCGCCACCAGTTGTGGCGAGATGATCGCATCATGCTCTCGGGCTGAGCCTAACAACAGCTGCGGCACGACCTACATGCGGCTGAAGGACTGCGTGATGGGATGGGATGCGACATGTGTGACCCGGACACATGATGAGATAGCGACACAACAACAAAGAAAGCAAGCCGACAACACAAAAACAGCACATTCACACACGAACGGCACGCACACAACCTGCGCGATGAGAGCAATCTGGCCGTTCTGCACGCTTGTTCATGAGGCAATACAGATCATGCAGATGACGTCACCGGGCGTTCATGATGTCATTTCAAGTACGCCGTTGCGCAAGCTGCACGCTGCGTCTGGCCATTTGAACGTGCCCAACTTGCCCTCCAACTGAGATATGTTGATCATGAATCTGCATGATTGTCAACCACGACGGCCTCATTTCCCATTCTTCGCGATCGCGAACACCCAATATGGCGGCCCTGCTGGATCACGACGCGTCGAGAACACTCTCTGGGAGTGTTCTTCCTCCCCGTCATCACCTGCCATCATTTCGCGCACAAGCCACAGCAGCCCAACAACAACCGCCGAGGCCCAAACCGCAGCACCAGCGTCGCCAACAGCAGCACCTCCAACAACCCCAACAGCAGTTCCATTACCGCCACCAACACCACCAGCAGCAGCATCAGCAGCAGCCAATGCAAGCCAACACGAACGACAACTTGACTGCGGTTTCATCCATTCAACCCGCACCCCAAGTTCTTCAACGCTATCAGAACTTGCTCACCCTTCTACGCCTGCAACAGCAACTTCTGCACGCGCCAAGTCACTCCCAGACTACCACCACAAACGCCGTCACTCCGCAAGCGCGAGCCGCCCTACTTACCGCCATCATGCACGGTGCCCTTCAAAACCCTGACGATATGCACGGCCTCGCCTGGCTCATGTAAGGCAACCGTGTGTGTGTGTGTGTGTGTGCGTGCGTGCGTGCGTGTGTGCGTGCGTGTGTGCGTGCGTGTGTGCGTGTGTGTGTGTGTGTGTGTGTGTCGCGGCGCTAACTGTGTCCTGTCCCGCAGGATGGCATTGGTGTTATCTATGTGAATGGTAAATGGATCTCTTTGGACTTGGGCAGCAATTCTTAGCCCGAGCTCACCCCCTTTAACGACCTGCTTTAAATAGAATACCGGGCGCGGGAGTCCGGACCCCCACTACTCTATCGATTGCCGTAACGGCTAGACGGCTTAAGATAGTTCGCGAAGACCTTATCCAATCTGCTCCGCTCAATCGAGCATGTGGGATTAGATCGGGTATTCTTCCGCTTCGCCCTTCTGCCTAGCGAAGTTTTTAACCTATCCAGATTTGACCATGGAGATGAGCACGTGCGTGTGTGTGCGTGTGTGCGTGCGCGCGCGCGCGTGTGTGTGTGTGTGTGTGTGTGTGTGTGTGTGTGTGTGTGTGTGTGCATCATGCGCACATGCTTGTGTACTTCTCTGTTCCTGAATGGTACCCCTCTTGTGTCGTTTCCCTTTTCACCTTCCACGCCTGCGCCCTCACGGCACCCATCACATGCACGCTTCGCCTCGGCTCCCCATCCATCGTTCGCTCTCACTCACTCACCGCCACCCTGTCATGTCGTTTCCACTTCTTTCTTCAGGAACAGCAATACACACGACCAGATGCACGCGCCTTTGTTTCAGCAGCCGTATCAGCCCCCGGCGCACGCGTTCCACACAACGCACCACCAGACACACATGTCGTCCTCAGGGCCGTTCAGCAACAACAGCCTGGACGATGGTGCGGTCGCAAACACCCTCCTACACAACCTTCTCGGCTCGCAAACGGCGCCAGACCGTGACGTCGCCGCCGCTACTGCATCATCCTTTGTGTCCCCGCTCTTTGGCAACCCGGAGACCAAGGCCCAGCAACCAAGCGCAATGTCCTTTGATGGGCTTCTTTCCGTGCAACAACAACTGCGCCAGCCAAAACTGAGGCACCAGCAGCAGTCGTCCCCATCATCCCCCGACGACGGTCTGGCACTCGGCCCTCAAGCGCAGCAGCAGCACCATCAGCACCACCAGCACCAGCACCAACTACAGCATCAGTACCAACAACCACACCAACAGCTACAACAACACAACCCTTTCTTTCCGTCAGAGCTGTCCAATGCTCAGGGCAACACCGTGGCACCACCGCAACATACACTCCCGTCGACAACACCTGCCAACGACAGCAGCAACCTTCTGCTCATGGGACTGACAGACCTGTCATCAAACAGCGCCACGAACAACGCATTTGACAACGAGGCCAGAGCAATGGCGCCGCCGCCGGCTGCGTCAGTCGGTGCCATGGCCGAGGACGTGCGGGACCCTTCCTATGCATCATCGAGTGTCACAGGCTCGTCTGAGATGGCAGAGGAAGACATGTTCAACCTGCCCGACCTGGGTGCGGATGATCTGCTGATGGAGGACAACGGTGTGTTTGACATCAGCATTCTCAACCAGTTGGAGCAGCCCCTCGACTTCTCCACACTCTCCCGCCAGCTGTTGGAAGGCAGCGTGCTCACGGGCGACGCTGATGCCGACACGGAGCCATCCATGTCATCGTCACCATCGTCGTCATCGAGGAAGAAGAAGGGCAGGAAGGACGGGCAGCCGAAGAAACGGCGTCGTCGCCGTCGACTCACGGAGACGAAGAAGCGGCAGCTGCGCAACGAACAGCTGCGCCGGCTCAACATTCGCAACGCCCAGCTCAAGCTCGCCCTGAAGAACCTTCGCAAGGAGGTGGTGCAGTTT